GAAGAGTAGCAGTATTGTCTGTGGTGTTTAATAGCTTTACATCATCAGCGAAGAGAAAGCAGTTGCTCTTAATATGATCACAGAGGTCATTTATGTAGAGTATGAAGAGAGTTGGTCCTAGAACACTGCCCTGGGGGACACCACTGTTGACAGGTACAGAATTTGATATCTGACCATTGGACTAGCTGACAAACCTAATTGGAAGGTCCAAATTTCAAGACTAGATTTTGGCTTGTCTTTTGAAACTACCCAGGCAAAGCCTTTATTCCCGAGACTGTTTTGATTTGCCTTATGTTCCTTTCCTTGTTATCTACTTGGTCTTGAGCCAATTGCTGTTCTAATGTAGCAGCTGTGGGTAAGCTGAAACCTGGAACAGAATTGCTGGGGGAAAGACAAAGTAAATCTCTCTCTACACCAACACTGTCGTATATGTGTGGGTGAGTGGGGCAGCACAAGAATTTGAAATTCAGTCATATGACTGTCTGAGTTTAGAACTTTGGAACCAGATCATAAGTATCTTTAGGGAGATCCAATGTAACATTGAATAGTCCCTAATTGAACAGTTGTAAGTCAAGAACTACTTGCATGGAGGTATGTATATAAAATAAAGCATTATTGTATGCATATGTATGTATATATGGCTGCTGTGTTTCAGTGCCCAGTACACTGAGAATATTTTGATGGAAGGTTAGCAGGTACAGTATTAAACATATTCTTACTTTGAAAAATACTCTCAGTACTATCTATTTGAAAACCTCCTCTTTAGCTTTATTTTTCTCTGTAGGTCTGACCTTCCCCTCTGTGTTTGCTGTATTTGGGAATGGGAAAGGACTATTATCCTGTAAACACAAACGTTTATTTGACCTGCTTTCTCCCCCTTTCAAATGTCTTTTCTTTCTCAGATATTTCAATTCTTTCTTTATAAGCTACCTTCAGAGAAGGTTTTCTGAAAAGCATAAAGGAAAATACACAGTTTTCATAACAGAAAATACAAATGTGCCTTGCACATTTTTTTAGTTAACTAGGGGACTCCTCCGTTGAATCATCTTCATTATCACCTCTTTGCTTTAAAATTCCACAACTGGTTACATTTAAAGTTATTTCTAAAATGAAAATCCCTTTTATGTAAGCAGGGGGACTCTCTTTCTTGGACTAATAATGGAAATTGGGCCACTATGTTAGAATATACATTGTGGAATATCTCTTGTGGACCACAGTGTTTAGGTCAGGAGCACAAATCCATACAACTGATTAGACAAACTTCCTGAGTTTAAATGCCATGTTTTATTGGGTGTTTGGAACATGATGGCAGAGTGGTTAGAATGCAGTATTGCAGGCTAACTCTGCCCGCTGTTAAGAGTTGAAACCTGACTGGCTCAAGGTTGACTCAGCTTTCCAATTTCCAAGGTTGGTTAAAATGAGGATCCAGATTGTTGGGGGCAATATGCTGACTCTGTAAACCGCTTTGGGATGGCTGTAAAGCACTATGGAGTGGTTTATAAGTCTAAGTGCTATTGCTACTGCTATTGCTATTTAACGTTCCAGTATCTTCTGCAAAGACAGAAAATCAGGCATTTCCGGGTGAGATCACATCCCCAGTTGATTCAACAATTTGTAAACTCTGGGTTATTTTACTCTTTGTCTGCTTTTTACATGAAGCTTTTGTTGTTAATTTATTCTATAGCATCTATACTCTATATTTTTTTTTCTGATTTACCTTTTATAATCTTTTAAAATTAGACAAAAATTTCTGTAGATTAATGTGAACTTAAAATACAGCTACACATACTTCTTGTTGGAAAATTGAACATAATGACAGCTGTTATTTGCCAAAACATTTCCTTCCTTCCTTCCTTCCTTCCTTCCTTCCTTCCTTCCTTCCTTCCTTCCCTTCTTCTGTTTGCCACAAAGAACTAAACACAAAATGTTTTGTATAGTACCACTGAAATTTTATTTCACTTTTTGGAATTACTCATTTAACATACTGTAGAATAATATTTACTTTGTTTGTAGCTATTTCACATTCATGATTCATCATTCTGTGATGGATAAATCCCAAGGTCTCCTGTACTTCTACCATCTCCAAAATACAATTACAGACTGGGAGGGGGAGTCCCATTTAAGTTCTTTGTATGATGAAATTTTATCCCTTTTCAATTACTGTATTCTAAGAAGTTCTATCTGCCTAATCTCCCAGCACTATCGGTCTCAACAATGATTCCCAACTTTATGCCATTACGAAATTGCATGAATACATTGCTTTATCCACTGCCAGAGTTATTAAAATGAAATATTAAACATTTTTCCCAAGACTAATTCTCAATCGTCTCCCTTGGAAGATTCTACCCGTAGAATTCAGCACCTTTTCCTATTCATGAATTATTTTACTTTTTTTTAATACCTCCAACTCACTTCCCATGTAATATCTGTTAGCCAGCATGATTGAAAATCTCAGCAATCTTGTGAAAAACTCCTTCTTATCTCATTCATATCATCAATTTTACCAGGGCTAATCAGTATTATGAAGAACACGTCTGACTAAACATGGTTAACATTCAATATAGAAATAAAATTGGATGCAGAAATGCAAGACAAACCCACAAAGTTTAAACTAAGTCAGATTATCCATAAAGTATAATTAAAAAAAAAATCAAGTCAAGCTATAATAGTTAAAAACATCACCTGTTTTGTGTGCATTGCTGGTCAAGTACAAAGCTGTAATCTCATGGTTACATTCATCACCCTAACCTTTTGGCAGACATACACAAACACACTTTTTATTAAACTGTTTTTCAGATGATAGTAGTGGAATATATGAGTTTAGAAAGCCGAAGTTCAGAGTTTACTAAATATATATCATATTATTTTCATGCAGATCTGCTAATTCCAATTATACATCTACAGTCATGATGAGATTAGCATTCTGTACTGTTCTGTTTTAATTTCCCATCAATAATACACACACAAACAAGGAAACACATAGGCTCTAAGAAGAATTAAATCTTTAGTCTGATTTATTCTTTGTGTGATCCGTTATTTTGCCATCATTTCCACATGCCTAGATTTCTTGTATCCCACTCTAAAGATTACAAAATGGTAAATGTGAGTAATTTGTTTGGAAGTATCTCCCTCAACTACTGAAGCTGATATTTTGTTAGCTTTGCTGGTGCCAGGAAAAAAACATATTCTCCCAATGAATGATTTGAATCCCAGCAGGAATGTTCAAAAGATGTGATCAGAATATTAAGATGCTAACCACAATGGTGCCTTGAAGTTCTGAAGATGGTGCCATTTTTAGTGCATCACAGAGTTTTCAATCATACCAGCATGACCCCGAATTTGATTTTATCGACCATGTCTTGCAATTACCCTAAATCATAAACTAACAACTGCACTCTCTACAAACATATTGCTGTCAACATCACAAATTAATGATTTGGGTCTAAAAAAGTTACAGGATGAAGAGTGACATATATCAATGTTTAATTATCAACTCAGTAGATGTATGATGAAACTTAGATGCACTTTAATTTTCATGTCATGTATAGGACAACATGTGAAAGCCTGATAATTATAGCAGAAGTTATTGCTGATAACAGTAAGTAATAGCAGTTTGGTTTTCCTTTATACAGAGATTCTACATTTAGTCATGTATCAGTATATCTATTCAACCTGGGTTTTCTGCTAATTTTGCTTCCTTTAAAAGACTTCTAATTATTTTATTGTATTGGCAGCACAAACCTGGAACATGCCTGATTGACACAAAGCTGCTGCACAGTTTGGTTCAAAAGTCCCAAGCAATATATTTCTTTGTGTCTTTTATGAGATAGGGAAGAAAAATTCAGCAATTTAACTCTTCAAAGAAGTTTGATTGTCAACAATCAAAGCTACTGAATCGTACCAATTTTCAGTTTGGCCACATACTGAGCATTTTGTATTTCCACTGAATCAAATGTTAACTTTAAATAAATTTAATGAAAGAGAAAGAATTAACAAACGGGAGTGAATTAATAAGAAAGATAAAATGAAATTGTGGCAGAGCAGTCTTTTTTCTTTGATATTATGATACTGCATTTGAGTAAGATAAAGAAAACACTTTTTTGAAGTTTCATAAAATACTGTTTTGTTCATTAAAAAGAAATCTGAAAATCTGCAATAAATTAGATCATACGGAACACCAACTAATATATCAACTAACTTTATTTTGAAAGTGTTAATTTTAATATTTTAATATTAATTAATAATATTTTAATTTTAAACTGTTCTATGTTGGCTTGTATGATTTGGGAAATTTGACAAAACCTAATTAACAAAACTTGCATTATTTAATTCATTTTAATTTAAAACATTTACAGACTGCCCCAAGGTGGCCAGTTCTAGATCATGTATATAAACAGGATAATTTTAAATGATTTCTTAAATGAAAAAAAGGAAGCCAATTATATATTAGGGATAGTGTTCTACATAACATAGGGGCTAAAGAGAAAACCTGTCTTCTGGTTCCAGACCTCTTCATTACAGGCACAACCTTAAGGCAGGCTATCTCATAATGTGTCAGTGCACACCATTCTGGAAAGTCCATGGTTTGTCTGGATTTATACCATTGTTATGCTTCCAGATGCAATTCAAGATGCTGGTTATCCTATTTAAAACCCTGTAAATGGCAGAGCCAATCTACTTCTGTGACTGCTTACATCTGAAGATCTCTGCCTGTCTTGCAATATCCTACAAGAGTATATCTCCAGATCCCTTTTATTAAAAGGGCCAATTTGTGGGACTGAGCAGTTGTGCTTTCTCTTTTACAGTGTCTGAACTATGACCTACTTTAGTCCTGAGCCTGCACAGCCCTGATCTTTATGGCCTTTGGAAAGACTGTGTTGACCAAGGATGGAAAGGAAGAGGAAAACCGGACATCCAAACACTATAGAAGGAAATGTTTGCAATATTTTGAAAAATCTAGATTTTTGACTACTCAGAACCACATGTGTATATCAACTTACTTGAAAATTGAATGGCAAATCCAGATTTGCTGATATAGAAGTCTGTGTCAAATTGTATTGTCACTATGTTGAGAGTGCTGTGGATGCCTTCTGGAATAAGAGAGCCACTAATTTCTTTTAACAGCATGTCATTTTCAGGTGGACCATCCCAAACACGTAGGATATCATGTGAGGCTTCAGTATCAAATGCTAAAAATTGGAGACTGTAAAAGAACACCAAATATTAATGTCTAATTCAAATAAATAAATGAAATTTATTACAATTTGTTACAGTTACAGTTTAGAAGGGATCATGCAGGGAGAAAGACATTTGGTTGATAATTAAAATATATACATCAAGAAGCCTGCCTCTCAGGTCCTGAACAGCGTTGTTCTCTTTATTGGAGATTCTCCTCCATGGATCTTTATGCCTTGATTTCAAGACTTCTTATGTAGATCTAATATGACTAAACATTTGATGTACATACAATGCATACATCAAAGTTCTGGCACTGAATGGAAATGTCAGATGAGGCTTCTGTACAAGTGTAACAACTTCTGTAGCTGTTAGCACTGCTGGACAAGAAGTCAGAAGGAAGGCAAAGTAAAGCAATGAAGCCATCCATCACATCTTAGAGCTTCCAAACAACCATTAGCCCTTTTTCAACCATCAACCCAGCCCCAACCCTACAACTACAATATTCCATCCAGATTTGGAACAAATATTTGTTCACCCAAATCTGCGGTAAGTCATTTTAGCCCCCCAGATAATGTAGTAGATAAAGCAACTACTATATCCCATCTGCCAAGCACTATTCCAGTAATGCTTATATTGCTGTTTCCCCAAAAATATAACATTAATATAACATCAAATTTTGAATAAAAGGCAACATTTACACTAATAAATGGATTCCAGATGGATTTCTTAGTTATTGTATTCTAAAATATTTTTTTCTTAGTCTATCAATTAAGAGTGTCCTGGAGTACCTGACAATGTTTCCTGGATCTACTTCGATTATCCACATACAACGCAGATTATTATCATACGGAAAAGGATAGCCCGGAGACAAGATTCTTCCTGAAGATTCTCCTTTAAAACGACCTCCACATTCAGCTGATAAAAACAAAGTGGAAAATGGTAATTATTTCTCATAAATATTGATTAGGATCTTTCTGTAGCAGCTAAAACATGTAGAATAGGAGGGGTTTAATTCCAAACCTATGATAACATGATATCTGAGTTAAACAGCAGGTTGTCCTCACTTACTGATTGCCTCACTCAGGAACCATGCAAAGTTACAAGGGCAATGAAAAAGGAGGTTCATGATTAATCTTTTAACTTGTAGCTATCCCAGCATCCCTGTGCTTATATTATACACTGCTCAGAAAAATAAAGGGAACACAAAAATAAGACATCCTAGATCTGAATGAATGAAATATTCTTATTAAATACTTTGTTCATTACATAGTTGAATATGCTGACAACAAAATCACACAAAAATTATCAATGGAAATCAAATTTAGCAACCCATGGGGGTCTGGATTTGGAGTTACACTCAAAATTAAAGTGGAAAAAAACACTAGAGGCTGATCCAACTTTGATGTAATGTCCTTAAAATAAGTCAAAATGAGGCTCAGTAGTGTGTGTGGCCTCCACATGCCTGTATGACCTCCCTACAATGCCTGGGCATGCTCCTGATGAGGTGGTGGATGATCTCCTGAGGGATCTCCTCCCACACCAGACTAAAACATCCCCCAACTCCTGGACAGTCTGTGGTGCAACGTGGCATTGGTGGATGGAGTGAGACATGATGTCCCAGATGTGTTCAATTGGATTCAGGTCTGGGGAACGGGTGGGCCAGTCCATAGCATCAATGCCTTTGTCTTGCAGGAACTGCTGACACACTCCAGCCACATGAGGTCTAGCATTGTCGTGCATTAGGAGGAACCCAGGGCCAACCGCACCAGCATATGGTCTCACAAGGGGTCTGAGGATCTCATATTGGTACCTAATGGCAGTCAGGCTATCTCTGGTGAGCACTTGGAGGGCCGTGTGGCCCCCTAAAGAAATGCCACCCCACACCATTACTGACCCACTGTCAAACCGGTCATGCTGGAGGATGTTGCAGGCAGCAGAACATCCTCCACGGCGTCTCCAGACCCTGTCACGTCTGTCACATGTGCTCAGTGTGAACCTGATTTCATCTGTGAAGAGCACAGGGTGCCAGTGGCGAATTTGCCAATCTTGGTGTTCTCTGGCAAATGCCAAACATCCTGCACGGTGTTGGGCTGTAAGCGCAACCCCCACATGTGGACGTCGGGCCCTCATACCACCCTCATGAAGTCTGTTTCTGAACATTTGAGCAGTCACATGCACTTTTGTGGCCCGCTGGAGGTCATTTTGCAGGGCTCTGGCAGTGCTCCTCCTGTCCCTCCTTGCACAAAGGCGGAGGTAGCGGTCCTGATGCTGGGTTGTTGCCTTCCTATGGCCTCCTCCATGTCTCCTGATGTACTGGCCTGTCTCCTAGTAGCGCCTCCATGCTCTGGACACTATGCTGACAGACACAGCAAACCTTCTTGCCACAGCTCACATTGCTGTGCCATCCTGGATGAGCTACACTACCTGAGCCACTTGTGTGGGTTGTAGACTCCATCTCATGTTACCACTAGAGTGAAAGCACCGCCAGCATTCAAAAGTGACCAAACCATCAGCCAGAAAGCATAGGAACTGAGAAGTAGTCTGTTGTCACCACCTGCAGAACCACTCCTTTATTGGGGATGTCTTGCTAACTGCCTATGTTTTCCACCTGTTGTCTATTCTATTTGCACAACAGCATGTGAAATTGATTGTCAATTAGTGTTGCTACCTAAGTGGACAGTTTGATTTCACAGAAGTGTGATTGACTTGGAGTTACATTGTGTTGTTTAAGTATTCCCTTTATTTTTTTGAGCAGTGTAATTCAGATGCTTAACAACCAGCACACATTTATGATGGTGCCAGTACTCCATGGTCACATGATTGCTACATGTAGCTTTCGCAGATGGGTTCCAAAAAGCAAAATCAATGGGGAAGCTGATAGGAAATTGCCAATTAATGACTTAAGTACCCAATGACCTGTGGGAATTTAATACTGCAGTAGGAGCTGATATTATAAGTTTGGTAATGTTGTAATGTTGCACTTAACAATTGCTTTGTTTAGCCATGGAGTTTCTGTCCAAATTCTGGTTGGTAAGTGAAAACTACTTGTAATATGCAGAGTGTATATTGTTCTCCTCCATTTCCAATATCAATTGGGATCAAAAGAGGAAAAAGAATCTGACTCTTCTAATTATTTATATAATCACTCAATGCCTTTAACTGTTGAAAAAAATAATGAAGAACAAGGTAAATCTTGGATCTTTAAGTGCAACGGAAAAAAAATTAACTTTGAGTTTTGATGATTAGATCTATTTATGATAATAGAAGTACTGTTTGTGAAGGTTCACTCTAGTTCAAATAGTCATTGATTTATAGGTTTTTCTCTGTTTCAAGCAAAGTTAGAATTTCTCTTGTTTTATAGTTTGTTCTTGTTGCTTGTACTCACTATGTTTTAGTTATCCCTTTCCTTTTTTTCTAACTCCTTTTCTTTGCTTTTTTATTTTATACTTTTTAAAAATAAATAAATGTTTGAATAAAAAAGAGGAATGAAGAAAACAAAATGAGTTCATGTTCTAGAACAACAATTTTCAGAATCTCCTCCATACAAATAAGTGTGATGTGATGTGATGTGGTGTGTGTGTGTGTGTGTGTGTGTGTGTGTGTGTGTGTGTGTAATATGTATGGTTATGATGAAGTTTGTCAGTAAAATCAGGAAAGACTTATTCATAAAGATCAGTTGGGACATGATCAATCAGCATCCTTCCATATAATCTACATCAGAACATTGCTTTGAGAGAACAGAAAAAAAGTTCACCAAATGAAGAACAATAAAAATAAAAGTACTACTTTGCAAAGTTAGTCTAGAGAAAATAAGGACTAGTGGGGACATGATAACAGTATTCCAGTATTTGAAAGGTTGCCACAAAGATGAAGGGGCCAACTTATTTTCCAAAGCACAAGAAGGCAAGACAAGAAACAATGGATGGAGCTAATCAACGAAAGAAGCAACCTCGAATTAAGGAGAAACAATGAGAACAATTAACCAGTGGAACAGCTTGTCATCAGAAGTTCTGGGTACTTCATCACTGGAGGTTTTTAAGAAGAGACCACACAGTCACTTGTCTGAAATGGTATAAGGTCTCCTGCTTGAGCAGGATATTGGACTGGAAGACTTTGACGGTCCTTTCCAGCTCTATTCTGATTGATTGAAAGTGATAGAGGTATATTTCTAATAACAAGAAACTGATTACCGATACAAGATGGCAAGGGATAATCCCAAGTTCTCCTTTCTCCAGTCATGCATTTTAGAAGACTGCTCCCATGGAGAGTGTAACCAGGATTACATCCATAAATGATAGTGCTGCCAGCAAAATGACCTTGATCACTGATTTTGTATCCAAATTGTGGAACACCTGGATCTTCACAGTGAGAAAGTTCAAAACCTATAAAAAGAAGGAAAGAAAATCAACAGTGTTTCCAACCTAGGATTTTTGTCCTCAAAGCATAGATTGCAATTTAGGGTGTTTAATGCAATGATTTGTTTCTTCGTAGCTATATATGTATGTATGCATGTATGTGTGTGTGTATGTATGTATGTATGTATGTATGTATGTATGTATGTATGTATGTATCATTTGAGCCTGGTGGCATAGTGGTTAGAATGCCATAGTGCAGACTAACTTTGCCCACAGTCTGGAGTGCAATTCTTAGGGGTTCAAGGTTAATTCAGCTTTCCATCTTCTGAAGGTCAGTAAAATGAGGACCCAGATTGTTGGGAGCAATATGCAAATAATGCTGACATTCTAAACCACCCAGAGAGTGCTGTAAAGCACTATGGGGCAGTATTTAATTTCCTGGGCTAGTGTTTTTGTTACTACTATAATATTTTGAATTGATGATGAAAGGAAGAAAATTTGATTTAAAAAAGTTTAAGAGACTTCTTTATCACCAGTCAGACATTTTGACCATCCATTGGACAAAGTGATAATCCAATGTATTTATTGTTAATAGTCAATATATATTAGCTTGGGCATATATTTGGATGACACATTATGCAACTCTTTTTTAATAATGTCTATTCAATATTATTTCTGATTAATTTGGAGTGCATTGTTTTCATCAAGTTTATAGCACTAGCAATAGTACTTAGACTTATGTACAGCTTCACACTGCTTTACAGCACTCTCTGCATGATTTACAATGTCAGCATATTGCCCCAAACTATCTGGGTATTCGTTTACTGACCTCAGAGGGATGGAAGGCTGAATCAACCTTGAGCTGGTCAGGATCAAAGTCCTGGCAGTGGGACTTTGTCAGTCTGCAATATTGCATTCTAACTATTGTGCTACCATGGTAAAATAAAGCTCATGATAATTTCTTACTTGATTCTTTATTTTACTTTCTGAAATACTTACTGGTATATACGAGCTGAAACCCTTCATCTGTACCTTCAGCATCTGAATTAAATTCAAGCCAAATATGATTTGAAGTACTGCTCAGCGTTAGTCCTCTTAGAGAAGCTCCAGTAAATGCACCCAGCAAATGCGCTGTATTATCTTTCCCATCATATATCTGAAAAGCAAACTGACTTTAGATAATTTCAATAAGCAGAAAACAGAGAGTAAAACACAAAACTTCCACTGAGATAGATCAGGACTGCTGAATTTACTTAGTTTGATAACACAGAGTATTGTCTCAATTTCCTACTACTTTTTAAAAAATGCCAAATTACTTTAAAAAAAAAATCCATGATAAAGGTAGGACTTCTATTTCAGTACATGATTTGTAAACAACTATTTACATTGAGAGTCAGCATTTTAATGATGGCACTCATTTTCTCTTTTCAAGTCATATTAAAAGAGTCTCTGAAGTTTATTTCTATGAAAACAGTTTACTAATCCATATACTGATATCAAAACAAAGCAAATGACTACAGTGGGACTAGCAAACAAACTAGCTATAAGTCTTTAGGACATTGTAATCTATATGCAAATTAGACATCTAGGCTGCGTAGTTGGCTTTGAAGTACCAATTTATTTATTATCTTAAACAATTTCCACTCCCCTGCAGATATCCTTGGAAAGTAAGGGGAACATAAGAAATTCTTAAAAAGATAAGGATTATATTCACTTCATATACTTAACTTGGTTACTAAATTAACCCATTTTAAGGGTTCATCTAAAACACTGAATTATAAACTGCCAGATATTCTGTTCATATAACATACAGAGGAGAAAGAGGGAGGGAGGGAGAGACAGAGAGAGAGGGGGAGGATTTTTACTTTATTAAAACTTACATTATATTATAAATATGTAATTACTAGATGCTGAACTTTAAAAAAATATTAATTTAGCTAAGGCACTAATAACGTTTCCAAATTTCAAGATATAGTTTACATTTGTGTGTGTCTGTAAAATGATATAGAGCTGATCTTAAGAAGAGGAAGGGAATAAATGAATCATTAAGGTGGGACTTGCAGAAAAGATCATACTGTCTTTAGGAAGAGGGAAGTAGGAGAAAGAAACTCAAAATAACCCCACCTTGATTTTCTTTAGTATGAGATGCGACAGAGATAAACTTAAAGAGGCTTTTGAGATTCTGTTGTTCTACGTAATCACAATGAAGAGAAGTCCTAAAAACCCTGATTATTGACCTATTTCAAGACCTGTTCCAAGACTTACAGCAATCACAAATTGACCCTTGTGTGGTTTCACGTATTTATGATCAAGGCATGCAAGCACAGCAATTACTTATGAAACACAGTACATTAAACAACAACTACTTCTGGACATGAGATTCTATGGGATATATTCCCAGAAAAGCATAGGTTGAATCTCAGCCTTAAAGCAGTTCTTCCTCTAGACTCCAGGGTGGAAGTGCCTAATTAGTCCTTAATTGGTATCCAAATTTAACCCAGGCCAAACTGTCCTTGTCCATCCCCACAGATATATCTTCAATTCTGGTTGCAAGAAGATCAACAGGAGATTATCTCCACTGTACATCTGCTCTTAGGAAGCAGGGTAAGGGGAAGAATAGCTCAGGCACCACTCAGGTTTCAATTAGGAAGGGAAGTGAGACATTTGTTGTATATCTAAAGGTCTTCTTATCTAGACCTCAATAAGCAGTTATAAGAAATCCTCCACTTACAGCTATTTATTTAATGACTGTTCAAAATTACAATAGCACTGAACAAAGTGACTTATGACCATTCTCACATTTATGAACTTTGCAATCTGGGAACCCCCTCTCCCAAAAGAATGAAATATTTTGAGGAATATTTTAAAAAAGCAGAATATTGTGTTTCCCCAAAGGGAAAAATGGAGAAACATGTTTTTAGAGGAAGAAAGCAAACCCCACTTTCCTTAATAGTCCCAGCAGATATTTTGTGCCCATTAAGAAAAATTGGGCCAGCCTATTCAGAAACCAAACTGAGGAGACCACCTTTTAGAAATACAGATTTGGTAATCCATTCAAGATAGGATATTGTGAAACAAAGGCAGAATGGTAGGATTTAGCCCTCACTAAAAATCCAACACAGGGCAAAGCCATTAAGCCACAATAGGAATTGTCCAACACCCTTTCAGAATGGTCCAAACTTCAACTAAACATAGCTCAGACAAACACCTAGGATGACCCCGATAAGAATCTGACAACAGCCAATAGAACACATATTCTTGCACAGGAACAGGAAGCTCAAATATAAAGCTCAAAGAAGGTATAAAAACCCCTCACTCTCAACTCCATTTGGTCAGCTGCACCAGAACCATGTGTTTGGTGGTTCGGTTCATCATTAAACCTCCTTTCCAATCAGACCTACACATTTCCAGTGTTTTTCTCCCAACTTGGAACTGAACCAGATGAATATTTCTTCCCACAGCAGCTTCCTCCCAGTCATATAATAAAAAATATGAGTGTTTGGCAAGTGGCATTTATTTACAATGGTTGTATTTAAGATGGGCTTCTATGATCACCGTTTGCAAACTTCGCAGCTGGTTTCTGACAAGCAGAAGAAATGGGGGGGGGGGGGGCAAGCCAGATTTACTTAATGACTGTTTGGTTCACTTAACAACTGCAATGATTTGCTTAACCAAAAGGGTAGTAAAATTGGGTGCAACTCCCTTAACAACTGCTTTGTTTAACAACAGAAATTCTGGTCCTAATATTGGTGGTAAATCAAGGACCATCTGTATTGCTGAACAACAGAAATGATACAGCTTTTTCCTGAAATCAATATGCATCCAGGACTGTATTTTCCAAATTCAAACCCCTCTCTGAGCTGTTAAATTTTTTATCAAACTGAAATTTTAAATAACTGGTTTGCATGAACTGGACAACAACACCTCTGCTTTAAATCCAGGAGTTAGTGTGCCATAAACTGATGCATTTATTTTACAGAAAAGTATGCAGATATCATCGAATTAACACCTTCATTTTAATATCCCACCTCTACTTTGATCTCAAAACTCAAAGCTAGTTTTAATTCCATTAAATCTTCAGATATCAAACAAAGAAAGCAAATAAAGAAAAGCAAACATGACCACAATACAAATATTTTCGAGGATACCCTATATGGTACTATCCATTCTGTTTTAAACAGTGACCAGTATGATCTTTCACTGAATGATTGATTGATATTTTTATGATAAAAATGCTTATAGCAGCATTCTGGAACAATGAAATATAACTATACCTAGGCACACACCCAAATATGTACATTCAGTTAAAGTTCAGCTCATGCGACTGGGTAAGGTTAGTCAGAAAAAGTTTCATTTCAACAGATTGAAAATGATGGAATAATTCTGTGAAGAGTTTTACTTGGATACTTAATTTGACATTCTTTAGTGCTACATAATGCTTTGCATCTTCCTAGACCAGTGTATCCTCAACTCCAACAGCTTTAAGATTGGTGGACTTCAACTTCCAGAATTCCTCACTGGCTGGAAAATTTTGAATTCCGGGAGTTTAAAGTCCACTCATTTCAAAAGCTGTTCAGGTTGAGAAAAACTGTCCTAGACTCTTAAATCAATTGCACCTTAAATCTAAATCAGAATCATTTGCTTTATTAGTGTTTCATAAAATATAACAGAAAATGTTCTTATAAGTTCTACGAAAACCTTTAACACATATTTCTGAATAGGGATATTACTTTTGTTATTTTAAACTATCAATACACCCAAATTTCCCTAGATAATGTAATCTTTAGAATTACAACCTTAATGTTAATTGTTAGACAAATGTATACTTAAAAAGACAATACATAAAACATTTGGATCCCCAAGTTATCCAGCAGCATACTTCCCTTGAATAAATTCCCTTGAATTAAAAAAAAAATACTATTGGTTCTGTGGGCATGGCTTGGTAGCCGTGGCTTGTTGGGCTTGGCAGGGGTAGGATACTGCAAAATCTCCATTCTGTCCCCATACCTGGGGAAAGGTTACTGCAAAATCCCATTATCTCCCCACCCCACTAACCTGCTTTCCAGCTCTGTTCTCCTCTGCAGAGCAACAAAATAAGACCCAACTGATCAGCTGGGACTCAGGAGGCAGAGAATAGATGCCAGTCAGAGGTGGTATTTGCCAGTTCTCCAAACTACTCAAAATTTATGCTACAGGTTCTCAGAACTAGTCAGAACCTGCTGAATACCATCTCTGCTGCAACCGTTTTAACTGTGAAAAACAGCCATAAAGTTCTTTTTCCAGTGCAATTGTAACTAAACAATTTGTTGTAAGTCAAGGATTACCTGTATCGATTGCTGTTAATATATACAGGTGTACATACAGAGATGCATCTTTATACATCCTGAATCCATGATAAAATATTAATAATAAATCTCATTATTATTTATTGTTTTAGCTATTTAAAATAAAAACAAAGCAAAATGCATTTTATTTTTTCTTGCTGGTTAATTTGAAATAATTTATGATAACCTGATTAATGACACCTATTTTCAGAAATAAATGCATCCCTACCAATATCCAACATACCTTAAGAACATCTGCTTGTGCTAAATGGAATGTTCTGGCAGAAATATTAATTCCCTTCCCTGCTTGCACCTGAATGCTGTATATACATTCATGATTGTTGTCATAGTTGAGGGGATAATTGGGGGATAATAATATTCCTTCATTAGTGGTGGCAGAAGCTCCACATTCAGCTGCAGGTAAAACAGAATTCAGTGTGTAACTCAATAGAAAACAAACATGAAATTGCATTGCAATTTAATAACTGTCCTGCCTGGTCAACGTAAAATTCCTGATAGATATAATTATAAGGAACAAAAAAAAGAGTTCATTTTCAAATTCTTCTTCATCTTCTTCTTTTATATGATGTCTCTTGTGTTTATTTTCCCCTCTATTTATTTTTGTGGACATTTCTGAAAACAGAAATAAAGAAGAAATGGTGATACCTTGGGAGAGATGAACAGAATTGGGTGGGGGAATGTTGATTCAATAGAATTAAGCACAGGGGTGAATGGCAGAAATAATGACAGGTAAGAAAGATTTGTAATTCAAAACTGATAGGGGAAAAAAGAATAAAAAAGAAAGAAAGCAGTTTCACACAGAAACTACGACTTTAGAGAATAACTTAATAAATGAAAGGGGATTAGACTGCAGGAGAAGTGTAATTTATCCTTATGGATTGCACTATAGTTGAAAGAAAGAAGAAGGTAATGAAAATACCTGATTATAATAATGGTATATGTATTAACACAATGAATGACAATGAGAGGTCTGGAAAGCCAGGGATCTAGAATGCCACCTCACTCAAAGTCATCACTAAAATTAATATATTTATTTTGGCCACTCCAGTAAAAAAGTATGTAGGACTGTGAAAATCATTGCATGTATGTATGTATATAACATGGATGCCTCCCTTTCCTAATAATGCTTCTGAAAGCATATTAGACTAAGCAAAACAACTCTCCTTAAAGCATTTTGATTTCATTTCAATATATATATTGAAAATATTATCCCAATATTTGGCCTTTGTTGAGTATTCAACGCATTGTGATAGGAAGTGGAGGATGGTTGCAAAGAATAAGCAGGAAGTCAGCCATGCTGGGAAAGTTACTGCAAAAGGAGTGAGATAGCCACCAAGGACAAACAGGAAGTCAGCCCTGCTGGGAAGGTCACTGACATAGTAAAAGGGACAAGGAGAAAGTTATTCCCAGCAAAAACAATGGGTCATGTAGTAAGTCATGTGGTTTGCTTGGGGCTTGTCCTTTTTAGTACTTGTTGGACTGCCTGAAACCAATTAACATGTACTGAGATACCACTGCACATTCTTCTACCTTTTATATTCATGTAAAGTAGGGAGGTGCCTGTCTCAGCCACTTCTGAATATTATCTATTTGTGAACTAAAAACCTGTTTTACACCTGTTATTTTGGTAACAGAGTTTGCTTATGAAGATATTCCTTCTTATTCTCAGCATCGTCATAGAGACAGCCCTGAAAACAACTGATGATGAGCCTTTCAACTGATGATTAAGTGGTTTGTGGCAAGTTATAGCCACCTTTCCTTATTCTAGGAAGAGAGGGATAGTTTTGCACCTTGAACGGTTGTCTGAACACATGCATGAAACTGTAGATAAAAACAAGTGTTTCTGGCATAACAGATATGCATAGGAATCCCAACAAATTAATTATCTCAACAAGCAGTTTTCTCACAGAGGGGAAAAAAAAACACCCTCCAAACATTAATTTTGTGGGGTAGATTTATTTTTAAATACTAGTGAGAATGTTACATATAGTATATACACAAGGCTTCATGCTTTGTAAAAACTAAGTATAGGAAACATGGCTTGTTATGTCTCCTGCCTAGAGACAATATTTAGAGGAAAAAATATCATTTTATCAGCTGCATTTTCTTATTTGTCAATTGAAATATATTTTGGAATCATTTGTATGAACTGTTTCCAGATTTATTTTCGCACTTCACCCAATCAAATTCTATGAGTGTCTGGATTTTCTATAGCTTTAATCTGTTTCCATATAGTTTCAGCAAGGAAATTCAAATTAAAACTTTTTGCTCAATAGCCATTCTTTAGGGGCTCAGAGAGCTATTAATGTGAGGGTTTTTTCCCCCCTTGAGATCTATATTGCTCTGATAATATAAGAAAGACACAGCTTTTTTTATCCATGTTGAGCATATTTAAAATTGTGAAGGGAAACAGTGAACCAGAACATAAAGGGGATGTTATTATAAGAGACAGATTGGATTTTAGGATTAAAAATGCAACCTACTTTAGACTGTTATAAAGAGAACTAATCAGAAGAAGAAATTAAACCAAGTTTTATAATATTCTTGACAGCCGTGGGTCAAACATGATTTGATTAAAATTACTGAGTACAGAGGCTGGATTAGTGTCGTTATTATTATATGTTACAGGAATCACAAGACCTTCATGGCATGACCTACCACCTTTTTATCAGTTCTTAACCACTATTTAACTCTAATACCCTTCATGTCATTCATTTTGGAAGCAGTAGGTTTCCAGATTTTTTACTTAAACTGATTTGAAGGGTTCTTGGTGGGAAAAAAAAACTGCAGTGAGAAAGTGAAAAAGTCTCTCCCCCATCAAGACACTTAGAGAGAGACATAAACCCAGAGGTTTTCTTATAGGTCTAAGAAAAATCAAATATTATATGTGGCAATTTAAATTATGTCCAACTGAAAATAATATATTATTTCTAAGGGAGAATAATGGTAAATGAATGACAATAAATACCAACAAAATCTTTTTCTTTTAATTAAATATGGTTGGACACAAGAATGATAACCAAGACTTGATATGTTTCTAAATGTTTTCAGATTGGATTTATTAGATGCTGATTACTGAGTTATTCCATTAGAAGATTGGCAATGCTGTTCCAGACATCTAATGAAAAATTTGGAAACAGGATACTTTTGGCTATGGTCTATTTTTAATTTATTATCCACATTTAAGAAACTGCCTAAGACAATCTAACATCCTGTATACAGTATGTGTGTGTGTGTGTGTGTGTGTGTGTGTGTGTGTGTGTGTGTATGGTATTCGGCTTGGTTCGGGTATTTTCCCACGTCATTGTAGTTGTTCTTTTAAAGTTGTAGCAACGTTTCAGCAGAATCTCATCTGCCATCATCAGGCTTCTGTATTGTTTCCGTCTGTCAGATATATATATATATATATATTTTCTTAAGTTTTCGCGGGTACTTACATGTATGGCATTCAGCTTTGTTCGGGTATTTTCCCACGTCATTGTAGTAGTGCTTTTAAAGTTGTAGCGACGTTTCAGCAGAATCTCATCTGCCATCATCAGGCTTCTGTATTGTGTTCATCAGGCTTCTGTATTGTGTTCATCAGACGAACACAATACAGAAGCCTGATGATGGCAGATGAGATTCCGCCGAAATGTCACTACAACTTTAAAAGCACAACTATAATGACGTGGGAAAATATCCGAACAAAGCTGAATAAAACACACACACACACACACAAACACACACTGGTATTCAGCTTTGTTCGGGTATTTTCCCACGTCATTATAGTATTTTTTTTATAGATACTTTTTCAAAACTTTACATGTTAAACACATCATTAAGGTAGAATTGATAAAACAGAGGAAACATAGAAACTGTTACATAGAACAGTTGAATATTAAAACTCAAAATTGGACTTCATACTAAACCAGAAATACCTGACAAATCAAAGTGAAAAGATATGAGAAATGTAAACACTGTATTGTACCAAAACTAATAAGGTATGCACCATGCTTAGACATGCTGTATAGTTGCAAGTTTATGGACAATGACTACACATACAAGCAAATGAAAGCAGCTGACCACGTACCCACACACCTGGGCAGAGGTGCACTCCACACTCTTCGGCCACCACCAAGGCAGATGATTTCTGAAGCTCCCTCTAAGCGGTATCCAGAAGAACAGGAGAAAGTAAGAGTATCTCCTACTTCAAAGTTAAATCCAATTCTACTTCCAAATTGAGGTGTGCCGGGGTCCTCACATGGTTCTAGATTGTATTCTAAGATGGAAATAAGAAAGCAAATCAACATCTCATTTAAAAAGTTTCAGCATCTGACAAACAAAGCTCTAACTCAGCCCAAATCATTAAGTGTTGCTATCTTATTGTAGACCACACATGTGTATCTGAAGATCAGTTAGCTTTCAGATACTCCCACCACCATATACATGGTCAAATAAGTATTAGCAATTTCACCATATACAT